CTCTTTTAATTTCGATTGACTACTTATTTCTCCAGTTATATTATTATTATTATTTTCTTATTATCATATTTCTCTCTCTCTTTTTTTTTTTTTTCCTTCTTCTGCTTCTCTCAATTCTTCAATTGACAAGTTGGTCCTGTTTACGGGGATTGTTCACCCGCAGCCCCTAAAACACCAACTAAGAGGTTTGTCACCGTTCCACCGAACATTGTCCAATGCACATTCCAATTGACCGCTGGACCTCTTTCTAGACACGTCTCAATTGGCCTTTCCTTATCCAGGCTTCTTTATTGTTATTCTTTTCTCCGTCCTCCTTTTCGTTCGACTTCACTCGGCCATCTTTTCGGCCGCTATTTTCCTTCACTTATTCCCTTCCTCCTTTCTCCTTTCGGGGGTGATCTTCACGCCGGTTGGCTTTTCGCTCTCCCGACCATTCCTACCACGTCGTTGTGACTCGCACTTCCCTTTCCCCCCCCCTGGACGGTGATATCGATCATTTCACATTAGCCCCAATTTACTTTTGTCCCCTCTTCCTTAGCTAGGGGGCTATCGCGTCCGGACCGTTCGTGTTCCTCGCCATGCAAACCTCCGATGCCTCAAGCATTCCGAGTCGTTTGATCCCTTCCAAGTTTTCCCACCTCAACGCGGACGATACTGGTTTCTCCCACGGAGCGTACAACTCCAATAGCCTCCCTCTGCAGGGTCTGACAGATCGGAACGCTCGTCGAGCTAATATCCCTGCCATCAATACCGCCGCCAGTCAAAACAATACCGACACCATGGCAGCCTCGGGCACCGCGTTCGACATGAACTTCACTCCTTTGTTGCCGTCCCAACTACTGCTCGGAAGCCCTTTCCAACCGGGAACCCCTTCAGCCTTTGCCTCGCCCCAGTTCACCAACTTTGGTGGTTTCTCTCAGGCCAATGCGTCGGCGCACGCGCAAAACCACCAGAACCAGCTGGGAAGCCCAACACAGGCCCCGCAGAACGCCAGTCTGTACTCGGGTATGATGTCTGCGGATAGTATGGGAAACTCCCAATTGCTTGGGGGTCCTCAATCACCGGTTGGTGGTATGGGTGGCTTGGGTAATGCGGCGTTCGGAAGTCCCGCCGCGTCGGTAACTCCGGGCCTTCTCTCGGGTACAAGTCGAACCGTGTATCTGGGCAATATTCCGGCGGAAACTTCGGCCGAAGAAATCTTAAATCATGTCCGTAGCGGTCAGATTGAATCAGTACGCTTGCTCCCTGACAAGAATTGCGCCTTCATCTCCTTCTTGGACAGCAACTCGGCAACGCACTTCCACTCGGATGCTATCTTGAAAAAGCTCGCTATCAAAGGCAATGACATCAAGGTTGGCTGGGGCAAGCCCTCGCAGGTGCCCACTTCAGTGGCCCTGGCAGTGCAGCAGTCGGGGGCGTCCAGGAACGTGTACCTAGGCAACTTGCCAGAGGAGATGACAGAGGATGAGTTGCGCGAAGAGCTTGGGAAGTTTGGTCCGATTGATACCGTGAAGATTGTGAAGGAAAAGGCAATTGGCTTTGTACATTTCCTGTCAATCAGCAACGCGATGAAAGCCGTCTCTCAACTGCCCCAAGAGACTAAATGGCAGGCACCTAGGCGTGTCTTCTACGGTAAGGATCGGTGTGCATATGTTTCCAAAACACAGCAACAGAATGCCGCTCAGTTCCTGGGCATCGCGCCAGGGTACGCGCACATCCTCAACTCGGCAGATCGGGACCTAATCACGAACGCACTCGCCCAACAGTCCGTCGCAGCTGCAGCCGTCGCTACATCTGCTGGCGGAGTCAACAACCTGGGCAACCGGACGATCTATCTGGGCAACATCCATCCGGAAACCACCATTGAAGAGATTTGCAACGTAGTGCGCGGTGGCCTTCTGCATCATATCCGTTACATCCCCGACAAGCATATCTGCTTCGTTACCTTCATTGACCCGACCTCGGCCGCTTCCTTCTATGCCTTGAGTAACCTCCAGGGTCTAATGATTCACAACCGTCGCTTAAAGATCGGCTGGGGCAAGCACTCTGGTCCCCTACCCCCAGCTATTGCCCTGGCTGTAAGCGGCGGTGCCTCGCGAAACGTCTATGTTGGCAATCTCGATGAGTCTTGGTCGGAGGAACGTCTTCGCCAAGACTTCTCCGAATATGGAGAGATTGAGCTGGTGAACACATTGCGCGAGAAAAGTTGTGCTTTCGTGAACTTTACCAATATTGCCAATGCCATCAAGGCGATTGAGGGAATGCGGAACAGGGAGGAGTACAAGCGGTTCAAGATCAACTTTGGCAAGGATCGCTGCGGCAACCCGCCTCGCCAGACGGGTAACGGTGGACAGCAAAATCGCAACGGCGGACTGGAAGGCCCGCAGTCGCCCTCACCGGCACTCAATGGCTTCCAGCAGAACTTGAGCCATTCTGGCTCCGGGTCCAGCCCGACCCGTTCCGCCCTCTCTCCTGCCCCAGGCTCGACAGGTTCTCAGAATGGCCAGCAGGGCCGGCACCCGCTGCAGACAGTTACATCGCCGTCCGGAATGTTGAATGTGGGGTCCAGCAACCCGCTAACCATGTATCTTAACCAAATGTCCGCCCAGCAAGCTCAAGAACAAGAGAACCGCTTGAACGACTCTATCTCCCTCGCTGCTCTTCAGTCCCAGTCCCAACCACCTCAGCAACAGCCCCTCTACAACGGTACATCTACCAGCGAGCTCACTAACGGGAGCATCGAAGCACCGCTGCATCAACACAAGCCGTCGACCAACGGCTTTTTGAACGTTACCAATGGCTCTAGCGGCCCTGGACATCACACCACTGCCAGCACCAGCAGCTTAAGCGTGCCACGCGCGCAGCACTCTCGTGCCGTCAGCTTGCCGTCCTTCTCTCAGGAACCCTTCGGTCCTATTTCGGGCCAGGCTGGACATAGCCGTGCAGGCGTAGCTCACCAACCGCAGAGTAGCTTCTCCAGCTTTACATCTGCCCTAGGCGGTCTCAACCATGCCGGGTTTGGACTGGCCATCCAGAACGAAAACTCGCTACCTGGCTGGGCTGAGGAAGAGATCGGAGCCAAATAATTTCATCTTAATATTTTGAGAGAATTTCCTCTTCCATTCTTGTGGGTGCATCATCTTTAACTATTAAAACTTTTTACTTGACGTTTTCTCTTCATCATGTTCATCTATTGTTTTGAAAACACCACCCGTTGATTACTTTCTTTGTATTGGTTTGATCTACAGTATTTCTCTCTTTCCTCTTTCTCATTTTTTATTATTTTTGTGCAAATTTCGTTCTCAGTCAACCCATCTTACACCGTTTAATAATCTTTTTTATACCATCCTTGTATTGCTAGCTGGGTATGATCCCCTTTCCCCTTCCATTCTTCTTTTGGTTGTTTCCATTTCGATTTCCAGTTGGCTACGAAGGCGGGTAAGATCTCGGCTATACCCTAGACTGGTTGGCTCTGGTCTGTTCTTTGATGTTTATTCTGCTCAGTTGCATATGCGATGCCATTTTGACGGAATTAATCCAGAGCAAACAGCTCCTTTTGCATATTGGATGACGGACAGGGGTTATATAGCTGTGCGGAGGTAATAAGTTCGGGATGGCGATGGTAGTAGCCATCGAGAAATATAGCATAAGAGAAGAAATACGAAAAGCAATGATCTACACTTGTTATCACCGTGTCCACGAGTATCTCGAGTAGCGAAATGGTCAAATGCTGCCCATCCGAATCGAGTAAAGAGTCAACATTCGATCACGTGATCTTATACATGGGTGATGGCACGCTAAGCCCCTTCTAGCCCAAACCATGGAACTTGAAGAAATGTTGGAGATCATCCTAAACTGTCGTTGTCGCCATTCCTCCTTCGCCATCAATCCTAATTTATACCAAGCAAAGCTCAGTTTTTTATAAATCCCCAAAATGTCATTGCCTCCAGAACAGATCAGTATCAAACGCCGTCGAGAGGAGGAACCGGTGGACACGTTATGTAAGAAGCTTCCCTGATCCTTTGCTAGTTGTCAAGCCTCTACCGATCAAACTAAACCCCAGTCCCCCCGCTTTGTATATCCGCATGGGAATGCCTCCATCTGTAATGGCCACCAAAAGCTGATAGGAGACCTCAGATATTCAGTCTGATCTACATCAGACAAAACGCCGCTTTACAGACTTCGTGTTCCAGCGAGTCCAGGTCAGTGCCAAGGATCTGAAAAACGGCTCCCCAAGTGCTTCACCCGTATCAGCGGCGCAGAGGTCTATTCTCACTCCGCGCTCTGTGAGCACCTCTGTATCTTCGGCTGTGCCGAACCGCTCCACGGGAGGGGTTCCCTTGGTCAGAGCCACATCCCCCGGGGCAGAGCTTCGCGAAGAAAAACGTCTCGCGGCCCTTCGGAAGGAAGCCGAGGAGAAGGTGAAGAGGGCTTTGAATTCTTCGCCGGGACCCGCTCAACGGGGCACTCACAATGAGAGCCCAGATCGTGATGCTGTTGCTGAGACTCCCGCGGTTGGCGTGTCATCCGCTTCCAGTGCGCGAGGCAGTTCGGCGTCTTCGCCATCACGGACGCAGTCGCTGCGACGATTCCAGATTTCGAGGTCAAGTACGCCGATGAGTCCCCTCCGGAGCAGTGGTGGAGGGGTACAGAAACGTAAAGCAGATGGGGTCGCAGTGCTCGTGGAGAAGCTTCGGCGTAAACCGCATTCACGGCAGGCGTCTTTGGTGGCTGATGCGGCGGTGCGAGCGGATGATGTCGGCTCTCGTGACGGCTCCGATGCGGCTAAGGAACAGCCTGTCCGTCTGCGGAAGAGACCGGTGGTGAACCAGGCTGAAAGAAAATGGAGGGAGGAGCGTAAGGGGGCGATCTCAGCCGCCAAAAAGCATATCTCGCAGGTGCTCGAACAAGGGGCCCAAGCACGCCACAGCAACTGGGAAGATGAGTCAGAGAGACTGGCCCGGGATTTCGAGCAAATCGCATTAGAGCTCGAGGGGGAAATGGAATTGGAAACAGAGGTGTCGCCCGCGGAGACGAAACATAACCCTCAATCTGTTGGCGAGCGGGCTCGTTCGGTGATGCCCAAGCCTCCATTAAAATATCCTCCTCGTACACCCAACAAGCTTCGAGCGGCGGGGTCTGCAGAACGCAAGCAAGGGGCGACGAATCCTGAAGGATCCGCCGAGACTGCCACGCCAGCACTACACCACTTAACCTCCGCTGCAGGGCAGGATGACGATAGTGACGGGGAGTATGTCTACGATACGTACATCCGGCGTCCTCTGCCGGATGGAGGACAGCTTACGAACCCACTAACGGATTTGGAATTGAACCAGGATGAGTGGTTCCGTCAAAAAGGTATCGATACGAGTCGTCAGGACATCGGTGTAATCGTCATCACACCTGAGGATGAAGAATACTGGGAGCATTTTGCAGAAGAGGATGACGATGAAGATCAGTGGGACAGCGAAGACGGCGATTCCAATGGTAAGCGAGCCCGTCGCATAGAAACCAACTCGAGGCCTACTCTTTTCAAAACCAAGGGAAAGAAAGAGAGAAATCTGACTAACAATTACTATAGCTGAAAATAATCCTGCGAATGACTATCCAGACGAAGAACTCTCCTGGGATGACGAAGAGGACGATCCTAGAGCCGTGTACAGCAAGTATCGACGCCATCAGTCGGATGACGAAGAGTTCAACTTTGACGATTCATCCAGTGAGCGCTTTGGTTATGGCTATGGATACGGAGATAGACAACGGGCACACGTGGATTCTGATGACGAGAGCTGGTGATGGGCACAACGACGGGTGGCTGCATTGATTATTCTATTGGATCTAAGTGCTTGTTCTGCACGGTACTTTGGGCAAAGAGAAACCTTCGGCAGGGGTGGGAAGCAATACGCGATCAGACACCAGTCCCCTTGTTCTCCTGGCCATCTTCCTTCACTCACCGCAATTCTGCAGATGCAGACGAGGGCAGACAGATGATGAGACCGAGTCTGTTTCTGCAGAGTAACCTTCATTTCTGCATGCGGACTCCATAACACAGCATGTGCAGTACAGTACGTATGATTATTACACCCTTCATGTCTTGGACGGGGGATCAACCCTGGTCCAGGCATGCATTAAATCCAACATCATAAGGGTACGGGTACAAAGTACGAAATGACATGAGGTACAGATGGTCTTCTAGTCATGCTATATTTTCTCTCTCTCTCTCTCTCTCTCTCTCTCCCGCTCAAGATGAAACCCCAATCTAATCCTACAAATATCCAAGATCCAGTTGTAGATCATTTCCTTCATGAACAAGCAAAAAGAAAAAGTAGAAATTTTTTTTTTTTTTAAAAAAAAAAAATGAGAAAATAAATGAAAAATGAAAAGGTCATCTACACGAGCAGACACCAACCCAATCTACACACTAAGGAAACGTAGACCATCGACTAAGCCAACAGAAGACCATATGCAGTCTCACCATGCAGACGGGAAAAAGGTAAAACAAATCAAAATGCCAAGTGAGAGAGGGATGTCCCTACCCAACCCAACCCTACAATCTCCGCATCCCTATAAGTTCAGCATACCAAAAGCATCAACATTCCAATGAATGTGAATTAGGTACCCAACATGATCCATGTTGATGTGTAAAAGTGGAGCATTCTTTTTTACCATCACGGATGCATAGAAGGGCGATTTCTCGATTTGGCAGGAGGGGCGACTTGCATGAATCTGCATGATTGGAGATGTGTTATCACCGACGGAGTAGTAGATCCTACCTACTATTTGAATGTTATTCCAAATGATTGAATGTGCCTTGTCAATATGTATATTGAGTATTATGCCGCGGCGCTTGCAGAAAATGGGGGATGTATATACTCAATACATACGTTACATGTAGAGTTGATGGAATGTAAATTAAGTAGGGTTTCAGTTTGAAGTTCTGCTGCTAATGATAACCTTTTTATGGGTATTTGTGATAAAAGGCTGTGGTGCGACGATATTGTCACCAATATTTCAACTTTCTCTTTCCTTTTTCTTTTTCACTTTCATTATATTTCTATTATTTTTCTCCTTGAGTATTTCGCAGGAACAGCGGAGCAGGGAACAAATAGTCTCCTCCTTGCTCAGTTCCATTTGAGTAACTCTGCCTCTTGCGGGTTGTAAGATGATATCATGTGTTACCTATGATTCCTGGGAATGAGAGATGTAGGGGTTTCGAACTAGGGGGTTCGGCTTCGCTTATTCGCTTGCTTCGCTGACATACTTGTCCTATGATGTGATATTATTTTGTTTCCTACCTATATTATTCTACTGGGTCTGTTGATGTTGCGCTGCATACCTATTAGTGGTGTTTTTTATTTTTGTGTGTGTGCTATGTATGTACTTGTACTGTATGCTGTGGTGTTGGGTATTGATGCCCTGTATGGTATTGTATGGTACATGCTGACTACATCCGTGCTATCTCCGGGATAAGGAAACTAGTATGTTCTCTTAAGTTCAATGAAGTAAATTCGGTCGAGACTAATAATCTCATCCACTCCAATACAAATGACAGTCTCCATAAATTTCTTTTCCCTTTCAATCCAGAATAAAAAAACAACAATGACGATGTGATGCATGCATGCTAAAGATCAGACAACCTCCCAGTGAGAATCATAAAACAATGTAAACGAGAGAAAAAGAACGCAGTAACGTCTCAGAATGATAGCCCTGTCGGTAAAAAGAACATAAGGTTAAAAGAGGTAATTAAAGTAGGCGAGTAACTTCAGAGGTATCTTGACGGCCGTAAGGAAGGAGATTTTTCAAGGCGGAAGGAGGATCCGTAGAAAGTCGAGGAATGAAGGAGGTAAGGATTCTTAGAGGAAGAAAGAAGAAGAGAAAATTCAATGTGATATGCGTCGACTTAGAACTTGTTCTTTAGTCTCTCGCATCCAAGGATACCACGCCCCCATCCATTCCACAACACCAAATCGTGGTGCGGCCGACTCAACTAGCCCCGACCCCTCTCGGAGGAACTCGCCATCGCGCATGCGTCTCTGCTCTCGCAGCGTTGGACATTTCTTCTCCTTGATGAATCGGTAGAATTTGCATTGGATTCCTTGGAATCCGCGTCGTTGCCGGCTAGGGAATTGTCGATTAAAGCTCTCGCGCACTTCCTTCCACTCTTGGCACAGATCCACGCGGTGATACCAAATGAAGTACATTTCCTCTTCCTCGTACTTTGGTCGAGGGGGGCGTCGCCGCTCTGGGGCATTGCTAGAACTGCTTGAGACCGAGTCGTACCGGTCCCGAGAGTACGCACCTGGCGATGACTCGGTCGACCGTGGTCGATATGGCAAGAACGCCTGGTCTTGCGAGGAGCCAGAACTTTCCCGGTAAGGATAGTGGTGGTGGTGATGATGGTTCTCTGCGTAGGGGTGATAGAAGTAATGATGGCTAGGACTGGGTGGGTAGATGGGTGAATACTGCGATCCTGAATGGGCGTATTGCAGTTGAGCGGAGTTGTCCGACTCTGCTGACGGGTTCAGCAGGGCATCGATGGCCATGCGGCTTTTTCGTGATGATGGCATATAATTAGCCGGAGATTGCGAGTGAAGATGCTCCATTGTGTTCTGTTGGGAAGGTGGTTCACGACCTTCGTGTTCCAACTGCTTTAGCGTGGTGATCGATAGAGTAGTAGGTTAGACGGGCGAGTGATCAAGGAGTAGGCTCCGGTTAAAGCAGGGTGTAAGGCGATGAGCACAGCCTAAGACACTTTTTTCCACACTGATCAGACGCGAGTGCACGGCGGCAGTGGCAGAGAGTGGGATAAGTAGTAGGTAAGGAAGCCACGCCGAATAAAAAGAGCGGTGGTCTGGTTTGGCGATGAGCCAAGAATATTCCTCAGCCGCTACAACAACGCTTCCAGAAGAAGTGTTGGACTGAAGGATCATGTAAAAGTGCACGGTTAAATGGTGGATGGCTGGAAAGAAAAAACCTTGGAATTTCCAACACCGCACGAGACACCGGGTTGGATTCTTAAATGAGGGCAATGGCCGCCAAGGGTTCCGTTAGTTGTGCTTAACCCATGCAGCGTACCGAATCCTTGGGACACGCCGGCCTGTAAGAGACCCCGAAGATGACTGCGCCCCCTGTCCAGTCGGGAGACAATCACTGCTACAGCGGGTACACGATGGTTCCGAAGTGATGCGTAGCGCTCGCGGCAGCAGGGGAGTGATTCAAGATGTTGGAGAAGGAGGAGTAATATGCGTTGGGGGTGGTGGTGGTGGCCTTCCTGGTAATGCTCGTATGCCTTTTCCAAGTCCTTGACCCTAGTACCACGACAGTAACCCTGCAAGTATCTGCTTATAGAAACAATTAAAATAGTTGGAAAGGGCGGTGTTAAATATGGATGGTAAAAAGGACAACCGAAGATCTTTTTTAACCATGAATTTAAAATGTATATATATATATAAAATAAAGAAATAAGGTAGGAGAGGGAAAGAAGAGTAAGAAGAAATAGGATATCATATAGAATTGAATGAGGTATAGATATCCTTTTTCGTTCTATATGCAAGGATATCGCATCGACAGTGGTTGAAAATCCATAGAATATTTCGCCACTTTTTCTTTTTCTTTGATGATCTTCAAGTCTCTGTTATATTTTTGTTTTTTTTCCACGAAAGAGAGAGAAGGATATTCAGACACTGGATCGTGTATGAAGCAAGTGGAGATGTGGAAAGGAAGGGTCACGTTGGCAGACGACTTGCAGGATGTACGTGCAGGACAACCACCGACTTTTTGAACCGGGTATTTTATGTATTTCTAATCCTTTGATATACTTTTGCAGCCTTTTCGTTATTTATTATTTTGATTTTTTATTTCCC